TTTTTTTTTTTTCTGTGGGGAAATATTCTAACGAAGGTAACGAGAGGCACTTTTTCAAAGGAGTTCCTGAAAGCTCAACATGCAGCAACACAGTCGGAGTGAAAGGTACAGACCTTCTCCTCCTCCTCCTCCTCTCCAGCTTCTTCTCCTGTCGGATTATTTTCTCCCGTTTTTTCGCACGTGGGAACGGCTGCAGCCCTACTTAGTATTCTCGTGTTGTAACGATCCCAACAATGAACCATCCAGCCTGAGCAGGAGCGGGCAGAGCTGCGGAAAGTTTCCGGGAGGATGTGTGCCTCTGACGGAAGGCTGCAGGTTCCCTCCCGCTCCGCTTCCTCCAGTAATCTGGCCTTAATTGGCTGCTTTTTATCACGCAGAGAAAAAGAACAAGAACAATCAGCGATGATATACAGTCCATTTGTCGGAGGCTTGGATTGTGCCCACCCCCCAAACACAGCTCACCAACTCAAAACTACAGTTATTTGAAATAGTTTTGTCGGCTTTGCATGTTGTGAACAAAACGAGTATTATGTTCCTTAAATCCGTGTTTTTTTTTTATTTTTACTTTTTAACTAAAGATAAATAATGCCACTAAAGCAAATATTTCATTAAATAACCAAAAATCATATTGGTAATAATAAGGGAATTTGTGCTGAACATTTGATTTGTAGAGACAATTTTAGTTGTCCCCCCCCCCCCTAAAAAAAAGGACTTCAGTCTAAGTACTTCTATATATATCATTTAAATCCAAAAAACGTACCCAAAAATACACACACGCAATAAAAAAAAAAAAAATGAAATTAACATTTAAAAAACCAATCTAGCATATTTGCTTCACAATATTTACCCAATGTGGAGGCTGTATTGTCCCTATGAAACATTTCCATTAAATCATTCCTGAAAAACAATCCAATGTCTAATAAAACTCCTCCTGTTTTCTTCGGGGACTGTGCTGAATGGCCCATTTAAGGACAGGAAAGAAGAAAAAAAACCTGATTATGCTTTTTCAGTCGGCTGATGTGTTGCTCACTCTGTCAAATTAAAATATAGGGGACCGAATAGAGGACATTAAGGCTGAGGGAATTAAATAAACCTCAGGGGAGATTTCAAACTGGAGAAAAGCAAAGGAAACTATAGAGATTAATGACAGCTATAAACAAGATAAGGCTGTCCCACTTCAGTGGAGGTCAGCATTAACGACATTAATAATTATTATTATTATACTTTGTCAACTGTCTATAAAATGATACTATTGAGAGAAAAAAAGAAGAAATTAATTATATATCCTTTTGGGGGAAATAAAAGCACTGAGGCCTTTGGCTTAGAGGCCTATAACTATCTCGGTATGATATTCTTTTCTGCTCGCATATCTTCAGCGAATGAAAAAGAAAAAAAGAAAAAAAACTATAGCATTAACGAAAAAAAACAAAAAATGAATTGTGCTCCTTTTCTTCTTGGTCAGGTGTATATATATATAATTTTTTTTTTATCCTCTTGTCAAAGTTGCCATAATCTTCATAACTGCGATCGTTGTTGCCCAAGCTCCACTCTTTTCTTTTTTTTTCTTTTTTCTTTTTTTTCTTTTTTTTTTTTTTTTTTTTTTTTTTTTTTTTTACCAGGTTTTTTTTTTTAGTATGGGTTTCCTTTCCGGTTTATCACCCCCCCCCCCCCCACACACACACCCCCTCCTCCTCCTGAAATTAGGAGCAAGTGTGACACCTACCTGCAGGAGTTGGAAGAGTTAGAGAGCCCTGCCTGCTCCACTAGCGGCTGCACAGAACATCTCACAGTAGGTTTTTGTTGTTCTGGATGTTTGTTTGGATCTGATGTGTGCATGGCAACACTTTCCCTTTGCTCCAAAAAAAAAAAAAACAGTGTTCCCACATATCTAACGCGCCAGAGACTCTTTGTTAATGATATATAGTGGGGCAGTATGCTTTAAATGCATGGTCGCTTCCCTTTTAACAGCTTTGCCACGCCTTAGAAAATAGTAATGAGGCCTAAATTTGGCATAAAATCGAGCTCATTACCGGAGTTCACCACCTGATTGATCTGCATAAAACACGGAATGTAATTGGGTTAAATGACTGCGCCTTAGCGTTGTTATCATATCAACATCCACTTTCAGAAACGTGCTCAAGTAAAAGGAAAAAAAAAACAGCCCTTTGGTGGAATTTCAGAGAAGAAAAAGGAAATGTGATAAGCCATAAACTCTGTTATCTGGTCTAGCCAAACTGAAGTGAACCTGTTTAAATATTGCAACATCCTTTGGAAGAATGCAGGGCCTTTCTCTACTACCCCAACTGCCTCGCTATTAAAAACCAAAACAAAATTACCTTTGACCCATCTGTCATTATGCAAAATGGAATTAAAATTTCGCATAGATTAAGCGACCCTGAAGCGGTGGATAGACCAGGCAGAGCCAGCTGTTCCCCCAAATAATCGCTGCACAAGTATTTCTTTTTCTCCATAATTTACTTCAAAGATAGTGTGTTGTTCATTTTAAATACAAAAATGCTACATTAAATATACATGTTAGTCTTTAATACAAATAGACTCAGGCGGCTGCAGCGATTAAGACCATTCTTGTTACATTTTCGGGATTAACCATTCAGAAACTAAAAATTTGAAGATAAGCATTTTACTCAGAAAATAACTGTTCTCGGAATCTGCTTCATCATTGTTCTTCTGTACGTAATGCAGCCACAAAAAATAATAATAATAAATAAAAGTCCGCGTTGAGAGGAAAATATTCAAATATTTGACATACCTTTCTTTAGTTCATAAGGGGAGTCTTTACAAAGATCTACCTGCGTTTGGCCTCTGACTTTCTGGCTCTCCCTCACCAAAGCCTCTGCTCTATTTAACACAGTCTGGTTTAATCCATTGAAATGTGCCGTGGAGCCCGTGCTCACGGAGCCGTGGGGACTGTGGAGGTGTCCGAAAGTGCCACCGTAGTTCGTGTACCCGGGGTAGAAGGGGGAGGTGTAGTACAGCGGCCTGGACAGCACCGTGCTGTTGGGCAGCGGACACTGGGGGGAGGACCGCGAGGGGGACGCGCCGCTGACCATGACGGCGCTCTGGCCCAGGCCCGGACAGGCGGCCGGCGGCTCGCCGCTGCCCCGGCACCTGTCCGAGGACGTGGCGATCTCCGCCAGGGACCAGAGTTTGGGCTTCGGGGCCGACGGCGGCGAGTGGATGACCGAGGTGACGTTGCTGGCCATGGCGCCCGGCGTTTGGCTCAAGTCTGACGGCTTGTCCGGCTGGTTCCCCCGGGGCCCCGCGCAGGGAGACGACGTGGTCGGTTTCGCGGAATCCGCCAGCAACTCTGTAGTCCGCTCCTCCTGCTCTTTTAACTCCGAGTCGCTCAGAAGGGGATCCATGTCTTTGCCGTGGTTCTCCTCTTTAAATCTGTCACAGTCGACGTCCCCTGGGTTCAGTAGTTTGTGATCTAAAGCACAAATAAAGAATTGGAAATTACTGCCAGATAAGCGCCACGTTGGAATGCTGATAAATTTTGAACACATGTTTTAGGTGATCACAGGGCAGCCGAAACACAACTGTACATTAAAATTGGATATATAAAAATAATTAGGCATCTTACACTCGTTTCCCCTACAAACAGTTGGAGCGTGCTATAAATTTGCCCATAAACACGTGTGCCAGCACAAAAGGTGAATGAGCTGTTCTCCCCAGTAATTAAACAATGCGAGCCCAGCTGGATGGCACGCATTAAAGTGTGAGCCCGCTCGCGAGATTTTTATTTATGAATGCACATTATCTCTCGAATACAATATCAGATGTTCCGATAAGCGTTCAGCTCGTTCAGTTAAATTCCCAGCTCAGTTCACCAGCTGCATCCTTATTATGCAGTTAAAGATAAATTGACTGCTAAACACCATGCGTCACCAGCAATTTCAGCCCCTGAGAAGTCAAACGAGGGGAGTTCAAGGTGATTATTATTTAAAGCAATTGTCCCATTATAAATTATATACCACCATTAACCAGCAATCAATTTTGCACCCTGAGTGGAAACGACTGCTATGAAAAATTGATGATTTCTTTTTTTTTTTTTTGCCTCTTTTTTTTTTTTTTTTTTCTCCCCCCCTTCCACAACACCAACCTGCTTCTGTGTCTGTAGAGTCTCCCTTGTCTAACGGCTTGCTCGGCTCGTCGTCGTCGTTTTTCTCCAAATCGATATTCTCGTCCTCCTCCTCGTCCTCGCTCCTGTTCCGGGGCGTCCAGGTCATCTTGTTCTCTTTCTTTAACCTCCTCCTGGCGTTGGCGAACCAGGTGGACACCTGCGTCAGGGTCATCTTGGTGATGATGGCCAGCATGATCTTCTCGCCTTTGGTGGGGTAGGGGTTCTTGCGGTGCTCGTTGAGCCAGGCCTTCAGGGTGGCGGTGGCGTCCCGGGTTGCGTTCTTGCGGTAGGCAGGGTCACCGTAGGGGTAGGTGCCCAGGGGGGCCGCGTACGGGTGGTATCCGATCGATCCGGCCATGCCCGTCGTGTGGTCATAGGGAGAGCTCTATCACGAAATGAGGCAAACGCAAAAGAAAAAGTTACATTTTTTTCTAAACTGCCGGGAAACAACTTCGGAATATAGCTCCAAAACGTGAACACGCGTACACACACACACACACACACACACACACACACACAAGCGCGCACCGTCACACAAAGCGTGGTTACACTTGTATCGACCGACTTTAAGCAGTTTGGGGTTTCTTTTCTACGTAGTTGAATCTTTAAGATTTAATGAAATTAGCTGGGATCTTAAAATGGTAATGATTCCTCTGCTGTGTGGTGTGAGACCGCAGCGAGTCTCACTCTCGTTAAAATGTAGAATTCGCGGCTTTAACGATGCATTGACATGACCAATGAGCCTAAAAGATCTTCCTCGTCTTTTTCAGTCGCTCTGTTGTAACTAGGCCTTTAAGATTGTTTAAATTACACACATTGCCGTGAAAACAGGCAGCGAATACACAAAAAGTAATGAAGTGTTTTTTTTTTCTTCTCTGCCGTGTGTCCGATTTTTCTCATGTTTCAGCGTTAACATTTTACAGCTGGCACAATTAATAGGATTAGGACAGAATGACCTACGCTGCCATCACACGGCGTTTTGTTGTGTGTCATCAGCACAGAGATTACGGCTAAGCTCTGCCCGCTTTCATTTTTTCTAACCAAAAAAAGGAGAAAATCTTTATCCGAATGCGCCAGTAAAGAAGCTCCATTCTCCTATAACCCTTCCACTTCTGTAATCTTGAATGAGTTCCTCGGTGTGACGCACATTTCTTTTCAAGTAGCCTTGCAAGTTGACCACCGAGACTTTTAGAACGAGATCAATCTCATGCGTCTGACCTCCTCCTAAAATCAAGCAATCATCTTTGATGAACTCACCACGTAGGAGGTGAAAGTGGCCGCGGCCGCCGCGTCCCCGTACGGGAGGTGGGAGCCGTATCCCGGCGAGGCTCCGCTGAACGCCGTAGATCCGGCGTAGGGCGCGAACGCGGAGCCCGAGGAGGATCTCCCCAGCTCCTCGGTCCTGGGTCCAGATATGACGCTGGTGCTGTACGCGGGGCAGGAATACAGGGCCAGGGAGGCGGACGGCTGGTACAGGTATCCCTGAGGATACGCCATGCTGGAGCTCGGAGAGAGTGGGAAGCCACTTAACTCGCGCACTTTTGTTGCCCCCGCGTGTTTTTTCTTACGCGCGGCTCTCGGAGCACATATAGAGCTGCGGGGCTGCACACACCCGCTGCCTGTCCTCTCTCTGCTGAATGACAGCGGCGAAGGCAAGAAAAAAAAAAAAAGGAAACGGTTTAAGTCAAAGGAGGTTGAGCGCTGGGTGGAATTTTTTTAGTTGTTTTTTTTTTTTTTTTTGCTCGTCGCCAGCCAGCTACTCTCCGGTGGAGGTTTTGGGTCGTTTTGTCTCTCTGCTGCTCCCTTATCTGAGCTGCACCGTCGCTCTCATGCCAGTGGAGAAGTTTTATTTTTTTTTAAACCGTCGGACGGGGGCTTTGCTTGGGAAAATGCCCTGCCAAGATGCTAAGTTGGAAATTGAGGATCTTGACGCCTACTACGCTGCACACCACGCTCCTCCTCTCGGGGTGTAGTCACCGAAGGGAAAGGCGAGCTTATGCTGGGTAACCACAGCCCTGCCCAAACCCATGCTCTCTCGCTCTCTCTCTCCCTGTCTTTCTCTCTCTCTGTTTCCTTTTCACCCCTCCCTTCTCTCACTTTACCTAACAAGCCTTCTCATTCTTTATTTCTCTATTTTTCCCTCTTTAACAAGGCTCGTTGCAGTAAGCCTCAAGTGCGCCTGGCGGCCCCCCTTCGGATGGCGACGTCATGCGAGTCCATCAACTCCTAAACTTTGCTCTTTTTCCTCCAAATAGAAGTCTTCACTTTCACACTCGATCAATAACAAATCGGCTGTTGTATGGCAGGATGTGGGCTTGCACGATACCAGCAGGAATTAAGAAAGGTGCTCCACTGCAGCGCTCTCTTTTTGGTGGTTTTCCTCTTAGTGCGTAAAGAAACCAAAACTTACTTGCGTTTACTTGCATATACTTAAATCATCAGACTGCGATCTCTGTTAAAATCCGCAATGGGGCTTTCAAATGGATTACAATCGTTCACGTCGAGCTTTTAACGCGAGCTGAGCGCAGCAGCGGTGAGATAACTGTCGACTGAAAAGTAAAAGTAAGGTGGCGCAAACTGCGCTCGACCGAACCGAAGAGCTATTTCAGAATGTTTTCCTTTTTCATTTTATTTTGAGTGATTTTGTTTGTTTTTTTTACTGTGGAAAGTTTTTTCTCTCTTTCGATCCTAGGCGTGTGGCTTCATGGGCCATCACTTTTGTTTGAGTGATTTACTGTGGCGGAGGCTAAGTAGTTTTTGCAGCGAATCCTGGAATAAACCATTCAGATATACGCGCTCAAAAAGTCATAAACCCTCAAGCCAGGGCAGATTAGTGCCAACTACATCAAATCCGCCTGGACTAGTGAGTGTAATCTCATTTGATCACTACAGATACATTTCTACGCTTAATACTGGAAAGCATTGGATGCAGTTAGCAGCGACTACTTTCTTTGGTTTTAATAGATTTATTAATGGCAGTGTATTCGATAACCGAAAAAATAACGTTTACTAAGAATGATTATAATGAGAATTATTAAAGTGGTTATGATTTGTTTTTATGCGTGGGAAATTGCTCTAAAATTATTACGGTCGTAAAATTAATAATAATAATAATAATAATAATAATAATAATAATAATAATAATAATAATAATAATAAAATGGAGTTGCAGTCTTCCAGCATCTGAAAGCTGTTTTCATTCTGGTGATTTACTCTGCAGTTCAGGTCTCAGATAAGCCGAAAGGGATCGCTGTAGGCGCTGCTAAAGACTGTGTGTACACACCGTCACGTGCTTCTTACGCTCTGAAAACCTCAAGAGAGCAAAGAATGATGACGCCGGTACAGTGGGAGCACACACTCAGTCCTTAGAAAAGGGAGACGTGTAGAGAGGTGGAAAAAAAAAGAAAGATGGACACACAAAGCTGCCCTATAGTAGCGCCTAATCAGATGAAAGTGATACCACGAGACCTGTTTAGCAGATTCCATCATTAGACATTCAACTAAGTATCGTAACTTTTTTTCAATCGTACGAGAAAAGTATATTCAGATATTTCCTATTATCATTGTTTTAGTGCTAATTAAAGGCTCATTATTATGCACAAGTATTTGCCTCTCTTACAGTAAATTCATTGTCTGCATTGGGATTTATCTTTTGAAAACACGTTTGAATTTTCTGTTAATCACCGTTTATTGTGACTTAGTGGATTTTTTTCTAATAATAATTTCCATTCATGTATTGATTAAGATAGGCTGCGGAGTTTAGCGCGCTTTGGCTGAAGGCTATCTTTGTCATGTGTCGTCCTTAATTCGTTTTGGTTCAGAGTTGCTCTCTGAAGTAGGAGGAGGACCCATAATTTTAGATCACGGAGCCTTTAATAGGACTAGGGCTATGGCAACTACCGCCTCCCAGCACCGTGCTGATAAAGGAGGAGGTGGAGGTGAGTACAGTTTTTACTCATTTGCGCTTTTGGGAAGGTGGTCTTTGAGGCGTATAAGTGGGCTGTCATTACAATATACTCACCCGGGTCTAAGTCTATATAGTTCTTTTTTTTTCTTTTTTCTGTCCCCTCTTTCCAACTTTTTTTGCATCCTCCTCACTGTTCCTTCCTCTCCTTTTTTTTTTTCCCTGGAAAGAACGACCTCGCTTTTGACGCTTGAAAAACGGCTTTACTTGGCTAAGAAGAAGTGAATGAAAGATGATGCATGCCACTTAAAATGCCTGAGGGAGCAAGTGTAATCTAAATTGGATATAGAGGCTGTTATTACACAACATTATGCGTTGTGGCGGACTAATTGCGTGGCTGGGTGAGTTAAACAGTCAGTTAATGTCGAGTGGCGGACAGGTTTCTGGAGCGCGCAAGGTCAGCTGTACCGGTCCCAAAGCCTTTAGTGGTGTTCAGAAAAATACTTGAAGTATTCATGGGATTTTTAACCATTCTAAATCTGTGTCCTAAACCGATTAGTTGACACCAATTTTTCTTTGATGTATTAGCTGAGGGCTTTTGCCACTTGGAAGCCAATTGAAATTCAAAACAGTTTTCGCTCCAAATGCTTTGGGGAGATCTGCTGCAAATAATGGATGTAATTTATTTTTGACCTTGCTTTTTTTTTTCCAACGGGAGGGTTATTAAATGATTAAACATATGTGCACTATGCTACTTGACTAAACAACTAGAATTCAGCAAAGGTTAGCTTTAATTACTCTCAAGTGCTTCAGTAATTTCATTCTGTATTTTATTAGATGTTATATATGTGAAGTAACATGCATGAAATTAAGGTTTTGTCTTGTGCATATATGCACAACCGTATAGTTCTGTTACATGTTTGATGATGCTTATTGTTTTATTACTGTATTAGAATATGAATTGACTAATTATCTTTGTTTTGAATCCATTCAGATCCACCGTGTGGAAGTCGCCAAGCAGACAGCGAAACCTGCTCCTTCAACTTCCTTCAGTACACACATACAGAAACAGTTAGACTAAATGTCCTTTATTCACTTTTTGAAGTGATGATTAAAGACTATTCATGCATAGACTACATGCTCTAATAGAATGTTCATATCTGTTCAATCCTTTTTTCTTACTTTTTAGAAGACACTGTACTGTGGTTAAAGCAGTAATTGTCATACAGTTTTTCCTAATGAATATCAATGATGTTGCTCACACAATTGGATACAGTTCTAACCTGATAACTTGTTTTTTTTTCCTTTTTTGTAAATCTTTCACTGAAACAGTCATACAAATTAACATGAAAACAAAATGCGCTGCAATGGCTTTCAGTGGGTAAATCTATTTTATGATCTCTTCTCTATTCTTTTCATCTCTTTTTTCTTTTATTGACCTGAATGAAGATGTATGGAGTGAGTTTGTGTGTGTGTGTTTCCTCTTGATGGGTTTGTCTACCCGTACACCCCCACCACAGTCCCCGTGAGCCCCGCAAGGCTGAATGGCAGGCCTCTGGATTGTCTAAGTGATGAAATGATGACCCTATTATGAGAAGCGATTCCAAAATGAGAGGTATCAGGCAAAGATTGCGGCCTCTCTCACAACCACGCTGTGCTCCTGTACCACACTGCCAGCTGCGCGGATGATGATTGATTCGCTTGAGATGGATCTGAGGAAGCAGTCATTGATTTTTCTGTGTTTTATCAAAAATATTTATTTACGGTTGTAGCCATAGGCTTCATCTAGACGCACCCCATTCCTCGTCTTCCATTTGGGGGAGGGTAAAAAAAAAGAGATAACTTATCCTTTTTCCATGACAATACAGATGACTCGGAGCATCATTTTGGAAGTGAGTCAATGGGCTCAGTGAGTGAATGAATATTGATTAAATATAATGAAGCCTAAGTGCTAATAGGAGCACTTTCAGCAGCTCTCACTGTCGAGTGATGCTGGGCCCCTCTGAAATAGTGTTTTACACATCTGCAATTACAGCTGGGATGAAATGCACCTAATGTTAGAGAATATCACAGATGGTTAATTCACACACTCATCATATCCAGATTCCTCACAGAGGTGTGCTGTAACTTTTGACTCATCATCTGAGGGTTTCTCTGCCTCACTTGTCCAACCAGATCTACAGCGAAACTGATAGTTTCATTTGGAGGTTCACCATGTGTCATATAGAAATAATCCAACACTACTTAAAAGCTCCTGACGTATGTGGGAGGTATATGCCTTTGCATAAGGTAAAGTGAGACGGTGTACAAATGAAATGACTTCCAGAATGCTAAAACCACAGTGTGGGAGCGGTGCCCCAGATATTTGCTCTGACTTAATCCAATTGGAATAGTATGAGTGAGTTGCAGGGGCTTCTAGGTCTGTTGCTTGCTTATGTATGTGATGCATAATAGAAGTTGACGAGGTTGGTGATAGATCACAGCCCAGGTAATGTAAACACATTAATCCCTCAGGGTTCATGTGCATGTTGTTTCTCTCTTTTTCTCTTCTATCAGCCTCTCCGTGTCTCTGACTGCCCCCACTCGAACACAAAAAACAAAACAACAATGCTCATCATCTTCCCTAAATGCGTTACTGGAGCACAAACCAGAAGCAGCCTTAATCTGTCAACATGCCCTTTAATTGGAAGGAGAAAACAACACGTGCTTCTAGTTGTGCCGTTCCAAAGTGCACATGCCAAAGAAATACAGAGTTCATGGAAGAAGTGATCCCAGGAGAGAGGGGCATAATTAAAAGTATCTTTTAATAGGCTTGTAATGCTCAGCCTGACTCCTGTTGCCTAAAGTAGAATGAAAACTCTGCGGCTGGAAACGGACATGTGAGGGGCTTTTGCAGAGGCAGCCTGTAAACGATATTCCACCTCTCCATAATCAGACATGCCGTCTCTGCCCCAGCTACCACACTGAGGACAACAACCACTTTACACCGTTGCTTCTGACACCTTAGCTCACCGGCTCCCATGTTCTTTTGTTCTCCGAATGAGAGATTCGTCTCCACAACATCAGCTCTCCAACGGTTCTTCCCAAGCCACTTTGGCAAGTTGTGTTCTACCTCTAGCTCACAATGCCAGTAGAGAGTGAGAACTGGGATTAAGGGGTTGATTGTGGGCCTGCTACACTGTAATCAAATGAGACTGCTTTGGGGAGC